GATAAGATTCTTGAGGTTTTAAGCTGATTGAGGTTCTTCATTCGGATGCTCTCACCGAAGAAAATTAGACTGGAGTATCGAAGACAAAAACGACAACGAAGACATAGACAGTAACGAGGACGAACGACGGTGGACAATCGACTCGAATCATTGGCTCTGAAAAAGACGATGATGTCGAAACGTCAGTGAAAATATGTTATCAATTCAGCCCAGTGGCTCTGAACAATGTAAAACCTAGCACACTTAGAGAGAAAACTGCTCTAGCTGAGTAGTGGCATCTACAGTCGAAACCCAATGATCACAGTTAAAGCCTCGCTCAAAAATTCAGTATATTCTGATAGAATGTATCAAGCCTTTCAGAGATATGGTAGGCTAGGTATACGTACGTTTCGGCGCTCTCTCACGCTTAATCAGTACCACATGCGCTACGGCTCACCCTTCCTACTAATAGCAGCGGAGTTGAAGATATGTCAGTCTAGACGAAGTGAAAATACCACTTGATGCTGCGATGTAGACTCAATTCCAGTCGATGGCTTACGTCTGTTAACGAAGCATATAACACCAATTTTCGTGCAAGATCTCAAACATGATCGATTGAAGGGTATTGTTATATGCTTCGTCAACAGCCGTAAGCGATCGACTGAAAATCCGTCTAGATTGAAACATCAAGTAATATTTTCACTTCATCTAGATTGATGCATGTTTGGCGCCGCTGCTATTAGGACTAGAGGTGAGTCGTAGAGCATGTGGTACTGATGAGGTGTGCCAGAAGCCGAAACGTATGTATACCTAGCATCTCATGTATATGTATAGCAGATCTCTGAAAGGCTCAAAATATTCTGTCAAACAATTTTGTGATACTGTTGCGTAATAGTCATATCCACCGTGGAGGTATGATAGGAAAAACTTGATGACTTTAGTGCCTATTCTAATCGTCAGATGAAGGAGTAGCGTGGTAAGCGATACGGTATATCAGAGTGTAAGGTGAAAAGCAAGTTGCTGGCTCGATCTCTTCATCAACCCTCCAGCAATGCAAGGAGAATTGCCCAGACCATCACAATAGTAAGACATGCATAAAGAAAACAAAGTCCTCAAACAGCAGCCAGAAGGAAGCGCGAGATGTTCAAAGACCTTTGTGGAGAATAAATGCGACTATACAGACTAAATTCGAAAAATCTTAGGATCGCCAGAGCAATTTGTGATAACGCGTTCTGCGAAATAAATAATACCTGAAAAAATCTCTATCAATAAGTTCGATGTGAACTGAGATAACTTTGTAGTAAAGTGAATGATAGATATTTTTGATCGAACTTCGAGAATCTGTTAGACATTCAACGAAATTAGTGCAATACGGAAAACGTGTCTTAGTTGAACGAAAATTTCCAAGAGGGCCAAAATATTCGAATACGTCAATCGAACGCGCATCTCATCATTCCGAGGGCGCATGCTAACCTATTGCACTACCTACTCAGTTGCCGATATGTGCTTATCATGCCAAACCGTTGACAGTTGGTTGCTGACAGGTCGATGTTTTGTATCGCAGAAAGAGTGTTAGCAGAACAAGACCTCGGTGCAAAAGGTTAACACGCGCCCCGCAAAGGGTGAGATGCAAGTACGGTTCCCGTTTGCATACCACTCAACACTACTGGATTTATAGTTGTAACATCATACCACCGCTATAACGTGGTTGGAAAGGAGAAATCTTGCTGAATATATCATCGAATACATCCATGGAAACTTATTGAAGAAAGATATTGCAGTGGATTTCTTAGGTCGTTTCATGTTATTTTAGCACCAGAGCAATAAGCAACAAATTTATTAATCAGAAGTCATTAAAATTGCATGATTTTGGTATCGCTCAATGCATATTTTCTTGCGAAGATTTTGATACACAGCTTGCCTATGCTTGCTCAAATACCGAGCTGTCGTCAGAACAAATTCGTTCGCTACTCATGCACGAATGGCGCGCAGGGGAAATTGCTAATGAAACAGCGCGCAAGATGAATGGAGCTTCGGCTGATGATACGGTAGCAGAAAGGACGGCTAGGAAGTTTTTTGAGAAGTTTAAAGCTGGAGAGAACACTCTGGAAGATCAGTCACGCTCAGGCCGTCCACAAGAAGCTCTATAACCCTTAACGAACGGCGCATACCAAGTTGAATACACAGTTGTTTGAAGGCCTTTCTCGCAAAACAAAATTTTTCTCATAGATTTTTGGTAATCATTGGAAACCTTAAGTCTCTCCGGTTTCAGCAATATGTTTGGTTTTTAGAAAAGCCTTTTTATTACGTTGTAGCAGCGAATACAAACTCATGTTTCACACTCAGTTCGTTTTATTTCCTCGGTGAGGCTTGTCTATGGCTCTTCGCCAAACTTTCACTAACCGTTTGATAGCCAAAATCTCGAGGAATTCAACAATATATGTGGTTTCTCGAAAGGTTGCCCTAAAATGCTGTAAAAGGGAAAAGAAGATTACGTTTCGCACTTGAATTTCTATCGTGCAGAAAATTTATATATATACACGAAAAATATACGACCATGTAGAGATAATCATGTAATATAGGCTTATCAAAAAAACTAAGGTTTTACTCCACAAATGGAGGAAAAACCCAAACTGAATAGCGAAAAGCGCGCGCCCCGTGCAGATTGCCCAGCGCGATCGATCGATCAACAGCCGTCCCTATAGGGTTAGTGTTGCGCACCGCTTCCTTCGCACATTCGTGATGAGTGACAAGCGCATTTGTTCCCAAAACAGCTTCATCTTCGGGCAAATATAGGCAAATTGTATACCAAAATGTTCGCAAGAAAATGCGCATTTGAACGATAGCAAAACAATGCAATATGCCTGGTGATCATTTTTTAAAACACGCATGTCAGTGGTCTATCAAAGAGGGCTGACGTATAAAGCCCGATACACGTGTTTCGATCTTGCGATCTCGTCAGTCAGGCTTGTACCCTTTCTCGTCTTTTGCTAATCCTGTGTGGGTGCTCCAGCCCTCACAGAAATTTGAGCCGTGGTCTTGAGAAAACACTGGAAACAAAAGATTAACCATGCAATTCCAAGTACTTCTTGTTAGTAAATTTAGAACTTTCGTGTAAGACCACAGCTCAAAATTCAATATGCCTTGCAATCATTTTTGAGCCACGCATGTCAGTGGTCTGTCAAACAGGGCTGACTTATAGAGACACGTGTTTCGCCAATCCTGTGTGGGTGCTTCAGTCTCCACACTAAGAGTTAGTGACGTAAGATCGAAATACGTGTATAGAGCTCTATAAGTCAGCCCTCTCTGATAGACCACTGACATGCGTGGCTCAGAAGTGATTGCAAGGCATATTGAAATTTGAGCAGTGGTTCTGACAAAACACTCGAAACGAAAGATAAACCATGCAATTTCAAGTACTTCTTGTTAGCAAACTTAGTGTTTATTGCTCTAACACTAAAACTTATCGTACGACCTGATATTTACAACTCCAGTGAAGAAAAATCGTCCAGAATGGTGACAAAGGGCTCTAGTCGAATTATTTTCAATTCCATTGACAAAATCACCTCCTCTACTGAACAACCGATACGTAACCGATCAATCAGATCTATCAGAATCGAGATCAATCGATCTATCAAATTCTTGAAATTTGTGCTATCGAATGACTAGTGAAGTGACTTTCGGTACTGCGCCATATCGAAGCCGCAGAGCGGAGCAGATGAAGGAAATTGAGCGTGAAACATAATTTTATTTTCGCTGTTATAACGTAATAAAATGCTTTTTCGAAAATCAAACATATCTCCGTAATTAGAGAGATTTGAGCTCTTAAACAATTATCAAACGTCTGAGAGAGAACTTTTGCCTAGCGAGAAAGGCCCTCCAAACAATCGTGTTGCTCAGCTAGTACACGCCGTCCCCTAAGAGTTAACAAGTAATATGATCATTTGAGCAGACAGTTATCAAACCCTCTGATCTGGCTGACGAAGGTGGGTGGACTAACTCATTAAAGAGAGGTTTTCTATTTCTGATTTGAAGAAAGAAATGTAAAGAAAGGGGGAGATTAGGAAGAAAATACGGTATGTTAGACGGCGACAAATTTTAAGCCGATCTCATTGGCTCGAGAGAAACTTTTCATAGGAGTGTTAGTCATCATTCGACAGCTTAAATCTCTGGCTACAATTCCATGTGTCCGGTTTTTCAAAACACGCTTTTATAACGATGTGGCATCCCGATGAAAATTTTTTTCTCACTCACCTTTCGCCTTCATTTTTACCACGCGTATAAATCGCTGGAAGCATGAAAAGCATATCAGTTGTAGAGAATTTTCCGTACTATCAGAATCTATGTTTTTCTTCAAAGTTCCTATCGATGCGATGAATAAAATTCCCAATTGAACAACAATAATTCAAACTCGATCGATCACCCCCTCCCCCGCTCCGTGAGCTTGGCCGGTAAACAAGGTCGCCAAAAGGTTCATAGCTCAGGAAAATGTGAAGGAAAGCCACAGCGACAACTTGCTCGTAAGGTAATCGCCTGATCTACCGCATAGCTCGATAGGGATCCACCGCACTATGCGTTAAAACGGCGGCAACTATTGTTATTTTATTAAGGATTTTCTCACCGAATCGACATCGACTTCAGATAAAAACGCATGATTCTGACACTACGGAAAGTTCTCTACACGCTGATGCGCTTTTCGTGGTTCCAGCGATTTATACGCGTGGTAAAAATAGAGGCGAAATGCGAATGAGAAACAAACTTTCTTCTGGATGCTACAGCGTTATAAAAGGGTATTTTAGAAAACCGGCCACGTGGAATTGTAGCCAGAGATTTGAGCTTTCGAATGATTACTAACATTCCTATGAAAAGTTTCTGTAGAGCGAATCAGATCGGCCTAAACATTTGTCGCCGTCTACTGCATAAGTATCGAAAATGTCAGAATTTTTTTTATTTGACCGCAACTTGACGGTGGTATAATGTTACAGTATACGCGATATTGTGGAGTGCTGTGCAAAAACATTTGCGTCAGCCGGCGATTCGAACCCAGATCTCACTCTTTCCGGGAGCGTATGCTAACCGTTGCAGCACGACGCTGGCCCCCCGGGAAAGAATGAGATCTGGGTTCGAATCCCGGCTGACGCAAATGTTTTTGCACAGCACTCCGCATTATTGGATATATCGAAAATGTTTCAAAATGATGTCTATAACTTGGATTCTATCCTGATTCCTCATTTAAATAATCAAAATAAAAGTAAAACTTTGGAAAAAACCTCAAGCCTTCAGTGAATCTCAGTCACTCAGGAATATAGGAAATAGGCCGGACAAATAAATAAACAAATAAGTGAATAAATAAATAAATAAATAAATAAATAAATAATAAAGATGAATATAAAGACATAAACAAAACAATAATAGAATAAATAAGAATTTATTTACAAATAAAAGATAAATAAAGTAAATAGGTAAACAATAAATATAAATAGGAGATATCTGAAGGAAGCGATGGGACCACTGACAAGCATCACTCCGAGGAAAATGAGAGAGGAGAATGACTGACGACGGGAAGGAGTGGGAACTTCCCGTAGCACATGACGTCGTCCTCACCCCTTGATGACGTCATCGCAGAGTGTGCAAATCAGCTGATCGACTGCTTCGTGCACGGGACGGACGGATGGATGGACCACCCGGAACTTGTCGGACCAGCTGGTCACTTCATCGTGATCGCCTTGAGCATATGTTCCTTCTTGTAGAGAATTGTCCCCAACATGATCAGCTTTCTACTTAATGGTACATATTAGTCCAAGCAACGCCCCAGTTGGCCATCCTCGGTAGTATAGTGGTTAGTATCCGCGCCTGTCACGTGCGAGACCAGGATTCATTTCCCGGCCGGGGAGGACTGTTTTGAATGCCCATGTACGGTTAATCTTTTTCCCATTTTCTCTCTTAGACGGTGCTGGCTATAAAACATGTTTGGTCAAGCGACCCTGTTCGAACTATCCTCGGTAGTATAGTGGTTAGTATCCGCGCCTGTCACGTGCGAGACCCGGGTTCAATCCCGGTCGTGGATAGCCTTTTTGATTGTCGACGTTCGAGCTAATCTCGTTCCTGTCGCCTCTGTTAGACAGTACTTGTCATGAGACATGTTATCCAGGCAAAGATTGTAATTTGATCCTCGGAAGTGAGTGATCATTCGCATGGAAGACCCGGGTTCAATTCCAGACCAAGAAGATTCAAACACGAGTTCATTCTTCTTTCACAATTAGAACCCTATTTGCCATGAAATGTATATTCGCTGAAGCGTGCTTCCCACCTATCCTCGGTAGTATAGTGGTTAGTATCCGCGCCTGTCTGTCACGTGCGAGACCCGGGTTCAATTCCCAGCCGTGGAGTGCGTTTTTGATTTTGAATGAACAGCATAAGTTCTTCCTCTCATTCTTTTGTTTCGAGTGTTTTCTTAAGAGCACGCTCAAATTTCCATATGCCTGAAAATCGTTTTTTTTAGCCATGCATGTGGTCTATTAAAGACCAACTTACAGAGCTTGGACGATATCAGCAATGAAACATGTTTACCACAGCACGTAATTCACCTCATCCTCGGTAGTATAGTGGTTAGTATCCGCGCCTGTCGTCACGTGCGAGACCCGGGTTCAATTCCCAGGCCGTGGAGTGCGTTTTTGATTTTCGAATGAACAGCATAAGTTCTTCCTCTCATTCTTTTGTTTCGAGTGTTTTCTTAAGAGCACGCTCAAATTTCCATATGCCTGAAATCGTTTTTTTGTAGCCATGCATGTGGTCTATTAAAGACCAACTTACAGAGCTTGGACGATATCATGCAATGAAACATGTTTGACCACAGCACGTATTCACCTCATCCTCGGTAGTATAGTGGTTAGTATCCGCGCCTGTCACGTGCGAGACCCGGGTTCAATTCCCGGCCGGGGAGTGCGTTTTTGATTTTCGAATGAACAGCATAAGTTCTTCCTCTCATTCTTTTGTTTCGAGTGTTTTCTTAAGAGCACGCTCAAATTTCCATATGCCTGAAAATCGTTTTTTTTAGCCATGCATGTGGTCTATTAAAGACCAACTTACAGAGCTTGGACGATATCAGCAATGAAACATGTTTACCACAGCACGTAATTCACCTCATCCTCGGTAGTATAGTGGTTAGTATCCGCGCCTGTCACGTGCGAGACCCGGGTTCAATTCCGGCCGGGAGTGCGTTTTTGATTTTCGATGAACAGCATAAGTTCTTCCTCTCATTCTTTTGTTTCGAGTGTTTTCTTAAGAGCACGCTCAAATTTCCATATGCCTGAAAATCGTTTTTTGACCCATGCATGTTTGTCAAAGACCAACTTACACAGCTCGGACGATGTTTGCTATGAAACATGTTTGCCAAAGCACGCATTGACCTCATCCTCTTAGTATCCGCGTCTGTCACATGCGAGACCCGGGTTCAATTCCCGGCCGGGGAGTACGTTTTGGTTGTCGATATTCGAGCTCTTTTCCTTCCCATCTCCACTATTAGACGGCATTTCGCATGACAGATGCTTATTGAAGCAGCCATTGTCATTCAGTATTCGGTAGTAAATTGATCAGCATCCGCGTCTTACATACGACGGTTCAATTACCGTCGGGTGAGTATGCTTTTGAATGTCGAAGTCAAGCTCTGAGTCGTTCCCATTTCCTCTACTAGACGACATTTGGGATGACATGTGTCTATGGAAGCAGGAAGTGCCATTTGATCAATGATTTTTTCTTGGATAGTCAGGTACTTAACGGTGATCCCACATCAGAGTCACCAACAATTCAGCTGTTTTGCGCGCTACAATTATTCCACGGCAAAGATCGAAAATATATTTAAGTTGTATTTTCAAAAGCAACTTCTTTTCATGATCAAATTATTTTTTCTTGAATAGTCAGGTAAGACAGGATTGATAAGAATGTTGATAAGAAAAAAAAATTCAATTTCCTAATGCTGTGACGTTTTCGTCTTCAAAGCAGATGATTCGAATTTATTCTCTTTATGGGCTCTGCAGAAGACGAAGACGTCGAAACGTTGAACTAGTAAAGCACTTTTTCATTTTTCCACATGACCCGCTATCACACGATTCACTGTGCGGATCCCAGCAGTTCTTACATTTGCTCGATTTCTCACATTCATCCTCTACAAAGTTCTTCAAACATTTCTCGTAACATATCGATTGCTGCTTGAGAATTTCGTGTTCTTCATGCACGTTGTGGAATGGTGATCGAGACGAATGCGACCACAGAAACAGTCGAACTGAGACGTCTAGAAAAGAACTGAACACTTGGACAGCCCGTCTTCACTAATAATGCGGGCCCAGACAGGAAAACCGGGCTGTTCAGATGTTTTGTTCCCTGGAGTCTCGAGATAAGCCTAGCCGGGGCTTCTTCAGGTCGTCACCTCATCAGAGCAGTCGTCGAGATTTTTTGATTAGAAGGAGATTAGCATTGCGACTAGTAGCTACCAAGACGGCGCTCATTCCTCGTACGATTTACTCTCATAGCTAAGCTTTCCGAGTGAAAACGTTGCACTGCTGCTCGGCTGGGGGACTGCTGAGGAGTTGAATCCCCGCTGTATTTTGCAGTGCGACACTTGAGAACACCTCCCGGGCATGAGGAAGCGGTGAATCATCCAGTAGGAACATAGTGTCATCATAGTTAACTTAGATTTCTCCTGTAGCTCCACATTCGCGATCGCTCAAATTCTTAAAATTTTCATAAGATTCTTGAGGTTTTAGGTGATTGGGGTTTTTCATTAGAGCGATGCTCTCACCGAAGAAAATTCGACTGGGACGATAACGAAGACAAAGACGACAACGAGGACATAGACAAAAACGAGGACGAACGATTCTGGACAATCTGCTCGAATCACTGGCTGTGAAAAAGACGATGATGTCGAAACGTCAGTGCAAATTGACTTTCATTTCAACCCCGTAGCTCTGAACAATGGAAAACCTAGTACACTTAGAGAGAAAACTGCTCTAGCTGAGTACTGGCATTCACAGTCAAAACCCACTGTCTTCCAATGACTACAGTTAACACTTGGCTAGAAAATTCAGTATGTTCTGATACAATGTATCAAGCCTTTCAGAGGTCCTGTATGCTAGTGGTATACGTACGTTTTGGCGCTCTCGCACGCTTAATCACTACCACATGCGATACGCTCACCCTTCCTACTAATAACAGCGGCGTTGAAGATATATCAGTCTAGACGAGATGAAAATGTCACTTGATGCTGCAGTGTAGACTCAATTTCAGTCGTTGGCTTACGTCTGTTAACGAAGCATATAACACTGATTTTTGTGCAAGATCTCAAACATGATCGATTGAAAGGTATTGTTCTATGCTTCGTCAACAGCCATAAGCCATCGACTGAAAATCCGTCTAAATCGCAACATCAAGTAATATTTTCTCTTCATCTATACTGATGCATCTTCGGCGCTGTTGCTACCAGGACTAGAGGTGAGTCGTAAAGCATGTGGTACTGATGAGGTGTGCGAGAAGCCGAAACGTATGTATACCTAGCATGGCAGATTTCAGGCTCAAAATATTCTATCAAACCTTTTCGTGACACTCACGTAGTAGTCGTATTTACCGTGGAGGTATGATAGGAAAAGCTTGGTGCGTAGGAGAAATTTCCAGTGAAACAACGCGCAAGATTAATGGAGCTTCGAGTGATGATACGGTTGCAGAAAGGATGGCTGGAAAGTGATTGGCGAAGTGCAAAGCTGGTGAGAACAGTGTGGACGATCAGTCGCGCTCTGACCGTCCACAGGAAGCTTTCTTAACCCTTAACGAACGGCGCATACCAGCTGAAATACGCATTTGTTTGAAGGCCTTTCTCGCAAAAAAAAAAAACACTTTTCTCATAGACACCTCGTTATCATTCGAAAGCTTGAACCTCTCCGGTTTCAGCAGTATGTTTCGTTTATGAGAACGCCTTTTCATTACGGTTGTAGTAGAGAACTTAAACTCATGTTTCACACTCAGTTCGTTTTATTTGCTCAGGTGGAGCTTATCTATGGCTCTTCGATAAACTTTCACTAACCGTTTGATAGCCATAATCTCGAGGATTTCAACGCTATATGTGGTTTTTCGAAAGGTTGCTCTAAAACGCTGTAAAAGGGAAAACAAGATTACGTTTCACACTTAAATTTCTGTCTTACAGAAAATTTATATATACACGAAAAATATACGCCCATGTAGAGAAAATCATGGAGTATCAGCTTATTAAAGAAACCTAAGGATTTGCTCTACAAATGGAGGAAAAAACCCCAGCTGAATAACGAAAAGCGCGCGCCCCGTGCAAATTGCCCAGCGCGATCGATCAATAGCCGTCCCTAAAGGGTTACTCTTGCCCACCGTTACAGTAGCATTCGCTCCTACGCACCATTCGTGCATGAGTGACAGGCCATTTGTTCCCAAAACAGCTCCATCCTCGGGCAAATATAGTCAGTTTGTATACCAAAATGTTCGCAAGAAAATGCGCATTCAACGATAGAAAAACAATGCAATATGCCTTGCAATCATTTTTGAGCCACGCATGTCAGTGGTCTGTCAAACAGGGCTGACTTATAGAGACACGTGTTTCGCCAATCCTGTGTGGGTGCTTCAGTCTCCACACTAAGAGTTAGTGACGTAAGATCGAAATACGTGTATAGAGCTCTATAAGTCAGCCCTCTCTGATAGACCACTGACATGCGTGGCTCAGAAGTGATTGCAAGGCATATTGAAATTTGAGCAGTGGTTCTGACAAAACACTCGAAACGAAAGATAAACCATGCAATTTCAAGTACTTCTTGTTAGCAAACTTAGTGTTTATTGCTCTAACACTAAAACTTATCGTACGACCTGATATTTACAACTCCAGTGAAGAAAAATCGTCCAGAATGGTGACAAAGGGCTCTAGTCGAATTATTTTCAATTCCATTGACAAAATCACCTCCTCTACTGAACAACCGATACGTAACCGATCAATCAGATCTATCAGAATCGAGATCAATCGATCTATCAAATTCTTGAAATTTGTGCTATCGAATGACTAGTGAAGTGACTTTCGGTACTGCGCCATATCGAAGCCGCAGAGCGGAGCAGATGAAGGAAATTGAGCGTGAAACATAATTTTATTTTCGCTGTTATAACGTAATAAAATGCTTTTTCGAAAATCAAACATATCTCCGTAATTAGAGAGATTTGAGCTCTTAAACAATTATCAAACGTCTGAGAGAGAACTTTTGCCTAGCGAGAAAGGCCCTCCAAACAATCGTGTTGCTCAGCTAGTACACGCCGTCCCCTAAGAGTTAACAAGTAATATGATCATTTGAGCAGACAGTTATCAAACCCCTTTGATCTGGCTGACGAAGGTGGGTGGACTAACTCATTAAAGAGAGGTTTTCTATTTCTGATTTTGAAGAAAGAAATGTAAAGAAAGGGGGAGTTTAGGAAGAAAATACGGTATGTTAGACGGCGACAAATTTTCAAGCCAATCTCATTGGCTAGAGAGAAACTTTTCATAGGAGTGTTAGTCATCATTCGACAGCTTAAATCTCTGGCTACAATTCCATGTGTCCGGTTTTTCAAAACACGCTTTTATAACGATGTGGCATCCGATAAAAATTTTTCTTCTCACTCACCTTTCGCCTT